GAAACCTGATGTTCAAAATTGCTGCATCCTATCCGGTGTCACACGTCATGAACGTTAGTACATCGTGCTACATTAAAGGGCGTGTCCCACCTTGAGGACATATTTCAAAAACATTCTGTAGTGAAAGCTCAGGACCGGTTGCATCTAATGATAGCACTGGGTAATGCCACTGTAGCACCGTTATGTCGTTTTTTTCTTGTTTCGAGTGCAAATTACCCTGTCAACGCTTTGTAACAGCTCTACACTTCTTCCCAGCTGTTGCGACTGCCACCGTCATGACAACAGCCGTGCGTACCTATGCTGGTGCGCATAAAAGAACCGTTTATGATTGACCCAACGGACAAGGGCCTGTTACCGAGGAGCACATTGGGTGAAGTTTGAATCAGTGCGTCACATGGATCACGAGATATTTCCACTCCCAAAGCTAAAGCGCGCCTCAAAAAGAGTCCCTGTGGCAAACGCGATTGGGGGACAAATCAAAGCTATGGTATGACATTGTGCTGAATTCGCGGGCTAATGGCTTCATGTTAGCATGTTTTTTGTTGTCTTAGCAGTGTTTCAAACTTTTATAGTGTTTATCATCCAAACATTTTGACACATCAGCATGTTGCACACATGTTGGACAAAGCAAGGCAAATGAAACGCATTACTTCGTAGCGGTGAAAAGGGAATCAAATTTTACGAATTTTCCGCGCACGAACGGTTACATCGAATTGAAATTCTGAGGTGTTCGGGAAGAACTCGAGAAAAATGATATTTCGATCAAATCGTGCGCGTCTGATGTAGCAATAAGTGAACAATACAAAAAAATGGTGGGACACTTTCTTTAACAGAGCCACAATCCCAAACAAAAATGCGTTCTGTAATAACCACTAGCAAATCTTTCACGCATTCAGCGCAGTAATGTACAGTTTTTAATGCCAACATAACACTTTCAGTATAGTGTGGCACGTGGAATACATACGAAAGACGCATGTGCACCACGTGGGGTCTGCAGGGCGCGAGCCTGGCGAACCCGGCGGCGACTTACGGTCGCGTCTGGACGGCCACGTGCCGACTGTCGGCGGTGGCGCGCTGCATGGCGGCCAGCTCCTGGATCAGGCGCGACACGATCGGGCCGCTAGAGGCGTCCGAGGCTGACCCCTCGCCGTCCGTCTCCAGCGGCGCGCGCCAGCAGCTGGCGCCGCCCCGGCCGCCGCCGTCGTCGCTGACGGAGGAGCCGGCGCGGGGCCGGACCTCTGCCGGCGCCGGCGGTGGAGGCCAGGCGCGGCCCGACTCTGTGCCAGCCGCGAGTGACGGCGGCCGGCCCTCTGGCGGGCCCACGGCAGCCCCCCGGGCGGTCAGTAGCTTCTGATCCGCGCCCCACGCCTGCGCTGCGCCAGCGTCCGTCGGTTCGAGCAGCGAGCGAGCCCTGCGAGGTAGCTGCACCTCGGCGCGCGCTACACTCGCTCCGACGGCCCCCTCGTCTGAGAGGAGGCGGTCCAACCCTGGCGGCGGTGGCGTCGCCGCGGCCCGAGGCTCGGCGGGGGGTGCACCATCTGACAGGCAGCTCAGGCGGAGTGCAAAGCTAATCCAGGCTACCCTTTTGCCACGGGTGTTGCGGAGGTAGGCCTCTCCCTGCTGCGCACTGATGGTGGGCCAGTTGGTTTGGTCCTCAGCAAAGTGTGTCATGTCATCCAGCACTGCCTGGAGTGGAAAGGCACCAAATGCCACCATTGGTGCTGGCTGCTGACCAGTGTCCATGAGAAATGAATAGATCGGATATGTTCGAAATTGCTGACAGAGCACTGGCAGGCTGGTGTGGAAAACACAGGATTTGCCCTGATTGTAAACAATGTGGGATGGTTTCAGTTTCATTGATTCTTGCTGAGGTGAGAAGGTTACTAATGGAAAATCTAGCACTTTGAAACATAGTGTTGGAATAATGATGTGGTCTCTGTCAACTTTTGGTAATCTGATCCAAGTGAGGTCTAGGAGGATGAGTTCCAAAGTCAGGAGGGCTGGATCGCCCTCAGCAACTGAACCATCATCCATTGGTTCTGTAGCCTGAAAAGTAGAAAACAAATTGGTTAGGAAGTACAAATATAACTCCCTGTTTCTGTGGTCTAGGAAAGGTGCCAGACTTATAGTCTAGCTGCAGCAGGTTAAGTCCAAGAGTCAGTGCACTGTTTGACCCAATTGTAAGGTCAGCTGGCAGCTGGCCAACCATGGTCAACCCTGGCCTGGCAGCCATGTCACAGCAATCAGCAGCACATAAAACCTTCAGCATTCCTGGCTGGGTGACAGGATGGGGGCAAAATAATCTGTTGAGCTGGACAGTACAACTTGGGTGGCAGGTTCCAGGCAAACTTAACAAGCTATGCTTCATGGGTACTCCGAACCCAAAACCACCTTTGCAAATTTTTGAGAATAAATTTATAAAAACATGCAATGAATTTGTTAGAAAACTAATGTGTGCATAAACATTTAACCAAATTTATTGGTATAGGTACACATAGGTACCTCACCAACATTTGCCTTTGGTCTCTGAATGACCTCAGAATGAATGAACAGCCCTGCAGAGAAAATAGGTAAAGAGCTGACCACAGAACGTGCCCAGCGTCCACATGAGCCTATCAGTGCATCAAAAAGCGTAGCCAAGGACACCTTCACAGCGCAACTTCCACAGGACGTCGATATTACGATACATTTGCACTGTTTACTGCCGATGAAACCTGCCAGATACTTACACACCTAGGTGTCGTTTGTTAAATGACCTTGGGTGCCCCTATATCGCTTTACCTACACCCACACACAGCCTACATACCGCCCGCACCACCACTGAACCTTCCATTTGTTTTGAACCCGTAAATGCATGCATTCCACAGGAGTCGCGGATTTGGAAGCAATGTAATGGAAACGCGCTCCTTTTTCTTCATTATTAGTACCGTAAACAATTACCGCGCGGCCGGAACTCTTCACGGGACCTGGCGTGCAGCTGTTAAGCATGGTTGTCACCCATGGGACGGGAGCGGGACACATTCCCCAAATTTTCAAAAAGGTCTGACTTTGCCTCCCCCTAATGTGCATATAAAATGCACATATTCTCACGCTTTCCACCTGCATTGCTATTACCAGGCCATTTTACGCCACATTCCAATTTGAGCCTTTCAATCTCGCTTGGTATCCCTGACTCAGGCATTGCTCCACCTATGACAATCGACACCGAAGGAACGGGGGATCCGCGCATGCCATGATACCTCCACTTCGCAGAATTCTTCCTAAACATTTTTTGACAACTCTTTCTGAGACGTCCCTTCACATGTGGGCACACCAGCTATTGGCGACATAATGCATCTGGAGGAAGCCACTGAACGCATCGAATTGTCTGCACTCTTGCCGCTTTCCCATGCTTGCTCCATTTGCTCGTGTCTCATGCATAACCGCCCGAGCAGGATGATTTGGAACAGCAGTGGTGCACAAAATATAGTGAGGTTGCGGCGGCTCCCGAATTTGCCGTTGTTGTCGTTAGACCATACCGCTACAGGTTCCGCGTGTGAGTGCGATTTGTTCCAGCACCACGCGATGCCCAGTTACGTAGCTTGCCTTGGCAGAGGATCGAGCCCTCGCCGAAGCCGATCGGCTTGCGGCCCATTCGATCGCCCTATGTCGTTTCACCAGGCCGCTTCATATCCGCACCGCTCCTCCCTCGCCCGCCGCCCCTCCCCACTTCTCACGCAACAGGGAGGTCACGTTCTGTATTTTAAAGAAGAAGCTAACAGCTGTACAGCGGCGCCGGTACAGGTCACGTCGGGTCGGAGAGGCGGGCGGGGCGCCAGTTCAGACAGGAACCGACCCCGCCCAGCCGGTGGTGCCGCGCGATAAAACCGGCCCGCCGCCGCCCGCCCGCCTGACGTCAGGCGGCCGTAAAACAAGAGGCACGTTATTAATATCAAATAATAAAAGACGTCCACAAGGGTGGCACAGGCCACAGAAATCGAAGTCGTCTCCGAACGCGAATAACCCGGGCGCCGCGTGCCGCGTACAAAACATAAGAGATCTCGGGGGAGCGGGCCGCCGCGGCGGTAACTGCGGCCGCGCGCGGCCCGGCCCGCCATCTCCGCCCGGTCCTCGTGACCCGCCGGCGGCAGGCTCTGAATGCCAGTCGCAACACCGATCCCTACCAACCGATCCGAGGTATGCCCCAGGGGCGACCGCGCTCGTCCGGTCCCGCACGCATCACTCCAGCACGTGTATCCTCGCTGGCACCAGTCGTGCATACGGTCACTACACGACCGGCCGTGTGCTCACTCATACGCCCACCCGTCCGCAGACACACTGCGCTGGGCCGCCCGCCGAGAACGCCCACCCGTCCGCACAGACACACTGCGCTGGGCCGCCCGACGAGAGCGCCCACCCGTGCGTAGACACACCGCGCTGGGCCCCCCGCCAAGAATGCTCACTCGTCCGCACAGACACACCGCGCTGGGCCGTCCGCCGAGAACGCCCACCCGTCCGCACAAACACACTGAGCTAGGCCGCCCGCCGAGAACGCCCACCCGTCCGCACACACAACGCACTGGGCCACCCGCCAAGAACGCTCACCCGTCCGCACAGACACACCGCGCTGGGCTGTTCGCCGAGAACGCCCACCCGTCCGCACAGACACACTGCGCCAGGCCGCCCGCCGAGAACGCGCAGGCACGCACTGTAAACTCAAGTATACAAAAATACCATGCCCGCCCGGTGACCGTCGTCCGCCGGCGCGAGGCGTCCGCGGCGAATCCCTTTGTACAGAACGCGTGTGGTGCGTGAGGGCCTCAGGACTGAATGGGGCGCAGCGTCAGTGTGGAGTGTGCGTGAGCACGCAAGCTCCGCCACGCGCGTCTGTTGAACATCCCTGGGGCGTCTGCGAGCCCGTGCCCACGCCGCGCGGCTCTGCCATCCGTCGACACGCCGCCTGTCGTGGTGTGGTAAGCTGACCTGTGTGTATGTGTGTGGGGGGGGAGGGGGGGGCGGGTGAAGCAACCGGCGTCGGCTGGCTTTGTACGCGGGGCGGGCGGGCGGTCGGCCGCCGCTCAGGAGGCGTCCACGCGCGCCCGTTTGGCACAGGGCAGGTCGTCGTCGTCGCTGAGCGGGTCAGCCGCGCCGGGGCAGAACACGGTCGGCGACGGCTCCCCTCCACACGGCGAGTCGGGCGCACCCGAGGATGACATTGGCGGAGAGCTCTGCTGCTGGGCCGGCGATGCCTCCTGCTGGGCCGGCGAGGCCTCCTGCTGGGCCGGCGAGGCCCCCTGCTCGGCCGGAGAGGCCTCCTGCTCGGCAGACGAAACCTTCTGCTGCGTCAGCACGGCCTCCTGCTGTGCTGGCGAGGCCTCCTGCCGGGCTGGCGAGACCTCCTGCTGGGACAGCGAGGCCTCTTGCTGGGCCGGCGAGGCTTCCTGCTGGGCCGGCGAGGCCTGTTGTGGGGGCGACGACACCTGCTGCTGAAGCGATACGATTTGCTCCTGGGACGGCGAGGTTTGCTGCTGGGCCGGCACGGTCTGCTGCTGGGCCAGCGAGGTCTGCTGCTGGGGCGAGGATGCCTGCTCCTGGGGCATGAAGGTCTGCTGCTGGGCCGACGAAGCTGCCTGCTGTGGCGGGGATGCCGGCCCTGGCGCTGGCGATGCCTGCCGCTGCGCCGGCGCCGCCTGCTGCTCGGCCGCTGGGGTCATCCGCTGGGCTACAGAGCACGGCTCCGGTGCGGCCGGCGCGTCCGTCGGCTGCCGGGTCGGTGCGGCAGGGTGTGAGGTCGGCAAGCAGCACTGCTCCCGGCCGGGCTGGGCTGCCGGCTGCGGCGCTGCTGCCGCTGCCGGCTGCTGCTCGCTGGAAGCAACTGGCTCCTGCTGGAGCGCTGCGGTCGGCTGCTGGGCGGCGGGACACGGCTGCGGCTCGGCTGCTGGCTTCGGCTCCTGGGCAGCAGGTGAGGCGGGGTCCTGCTGGGCAGGAGGTGACGCCGGTTGCTGGCTCGGCGAGCACAGCTGCTGGGCGGGCGAGCACGACTGAGACGGTAAGATCGGCTGCTGGATCGGCAAGCACAGCTGCTGGATCGGTGAGCACAGCTGCTGCACCGGGGACACCGGCTGCTGCTGGGTCGGGGATGTCGGCTGTAGCTGCACGTGGTTTGTTGACGTGAGCTGCTGCTGCTGCTGCAGGGACGGCGGGGAAGCCAGTTGCCCGGCGGCGGACGGCGGAAGCTGCAGTGACAGCGGCGACAGCTGGCTGTCTTCGCAGCCGTCCTCCTCCTCCTCGTCCGAGTCGGCGTCGTAGTCGACCAGACCCACCTGTCGGCCGGGCACACGCGTGACGGCACAAGGCACCAGCCCCGGCGCGCCCGGCCCGCACACTGGTGCGGACAGGCAGCGCAGTGGCATCCACGTCCGTACCGTTCGCTGCGTCAGGTTATCCACGTCCGTACCACCCACTACGTCTGGTTACCCACGACCGTACTGTCCGCTGCGTCAGGTCATCCACGTCCGTACCCGCCCATTGCGTCAGGTCATCCACGCCCGTACCCGCCCATTGCGTCAGGTCATCCACGTCAGTACCCGCCCATTGCGTCAGGTCATCCACGCCCGTACCCGCCCACTGCGTCAGGTCATCCACGTCCGTACCCGCCCATTGCGTCAGGTCATCCACGCCCGTACCCGCCCATTGCGTCAGGTCATCCACGTCAGTACCCGCCCATTGCGTCAGGTCATCCACGTCCGCACCCGCCCATTGCGTCAGGTCATCAGCGTCGCGCCCAGCGCCGTGCAAGCATGAACGGACAGGCATAGTAACGGTGTAACAGTACCAGTGCAGTAACAGTAACAATAAGGAAACGCACAGCAAAGAGGACACCACTGGCATGCCCACACCGCGGGCCGCAGGACCCGGAGGGCGTCCTCGCCCCAGCACCGTTCCGGGCCTGCGGGCGACCCCATCCACAACGAACCCAGGGCGCGCCACTTCACACCCCTCCACCCGCACCTTTTTCACCATGCTGATGGCGACGCTCTGCGCGGCGGCGCCCGGCGGCGTTTTGGCGGCCGGAGCGGTGGCGGTGCCGTCCAGCTCGACCGATTCCTTGTCGGCCGTTAGCTCGGCCGCCGCCGACGGCGTGAACAGCTTGCTGCGACCCTCGATCAGCTTGCCTGCGGGGGCAGCGGCGTGGAGGCGTCAGCTCGCCGCCCCGGCACAGGATGGCCGGTGTCGCGTGGCGTGGGGGAGGAGCAGCGGCGTAGAGGCGTCAGCTCGCCGCCCCGGCACAGGATGGCCGGTGTCGCGTGGCGTGGGGGAGGAGCAGCGGCGTGGAGGCGTCAGCTCGCCGCCCCGGCACAGGATGGCCGGCGTGGCGTGGCGTGGGGGAGGAGCAGCGGCGTGGAGGCGTCAGCTCGCCGCCGGCACCGGACGGGCAGCGCCGGTTGGCGTGGGCCGGCTGCTCGGCCTACTGTTCATGGCGAGCAGAAGAAGTGAACCGATGTCGTACTAGGAGGCTACTGAACCGACCACTTTCCTTCAGTAACTGGAGTTTTTGTTGTGGAAACACGTGCCTCCCGTGTATATCAAGCGCCGCCGACTGAAACGGCAAGTAAAGCTACTCGTCAAGAAAAGAACCGCACACTGGTCACATCTCATTATTTTGACTCTGCTCGCGGTTGCCAGGGGTGACCAGATTCTGACTGCGCAAAAATCGGTAATCTTCGCAATCCAGCATTCTGCAGCTCCCTAGCAGACGCACCTTCCAGCTTCGAACAGACCCGAGCACTCGCACTCATCACCATCGCTTGAAGTGCACCCCCTCACTGCCGTTTGCTTTCCCTGCGCACAACTGACCATGACTAACCGACGGCATAAACGGGGCTGACCGCACGACTAACGCGCCATGGGAGTGGACGCGAGAGCGACAAGGCTGCGTCGCCAGCGAAACCCCAGCGGCGCGACCGAACGGCTCACCGGTCCGCCCCAGGTCGAAGATGATGATGATTTGGGCTTTGGGGCGCACCGACTACGTTGGTCATATGGCGCCCATTTGGCAGGTCGAAGACGACCACGGCTACGTCACTGGCGACATCCCAGCGGCGCGACCTGACAACTCACCGATCTGCTCTAGGTCGGAGACGGCGGCGGCGGCGCCGAGGCCGGCGCCGGGCGTCGGCTCCACCGCCTCCTCGTAGTCGTCGTCGTCGTTGAACCACATCTCTTCGTCCTCGTCCATCTGGCGTGGGTCGCGCCGGAAGCGCGTGGCGCACCGCTGGATCGACGGCACGCTGCCCGCACACGGCCCCGTCAGCAAAAAGCTCCTGCTTACAGCAGGGGGCGTCTCCTCCTGCTTGGCACCGGGCTGAGCAAACGCCTTACCCGTGTCTGAATGGCACTGACGACATTTGGGGATATCCGAAAAGCAAATACTGGGAATGGAACAAAACAGGACGCGCGCATCGTTCTTCGAAGTCAGAGATCTGGCATGGGAGTGCAACTGCAGATATCATCAAGAAGATCAAGTCGCATCCCGGAGGAAAGAAATTGATGAGTTTTCGGCGGGGACGAACTTCCATCTGCTGCAATCACTGACCTCTCGAGAGCGGTGGTACGTTGCTGCAGCCGGTCCTGCTGCTGCTCGTACCGCTGCTTCAAGTTGCGGAACGTCTGCACGTACGTTACATCCAGCAGCTTGTCGCCGAAGGTCTCCACTATGTAGGCCAGCAGTGTCTTGATGTCCTCCTGTCGACGGGCCACCACAAGCAGTCACCGCATGGCACCCCGTCGCTCGTGCGACGACGGGCGCGAGAGACGCTTCGTCAGCGGTTGAACGCATATTACACATATCGGCCATCGTGTGTCATTGGGGCTTTACGACGCGCTCAGCCGCTGAAGCTATACCGCGTATCGGTTGTCGGGATAATGGGAGCTCGGATGATTTATTATCTTTGACATCTTTAAGCAACAGTGTCTGCAAGGATTCTAAGCGTTTTCTGGATTCACGTGTTTTGGTTTCCGTATGTATTTTTTGCTTCAAGAGGATGTTCCATATTTGCAAGGGGTTTTGAACTGAAATAGCCGTTTTGAAGACAATTTGATGCAGTGAACAGCAAAGCCCTTCGTAAGGCCTAAACCCCCCTAGTTTCTAAGCTGCACGCCCGCTAAGATTGCAGACCACTTCAAGGTCACTCAGGCATGTACGACACCACAGAAACATCATTCAAATTCTGCCACCCCATAGTCCAGGCGGCGTAAGAGGTCAAGAAGAGTATAATCGTCGAGCCGTTCATATCTGGCGTTCGTGGGCACGGTTTCTGGACATGATGGACGCCAGTTAGCTTTCGATGAGTGTTGAGCAGGCTATGCAAGATTCAATCACGAACCACGTTTTGCGCTACACAGTGTAAGAAGTTGGACATGGGTGCTAATTATTACGAAGATTAGACTTGTAATTACATAACCGAGTGCGTGAACACAACTTAATACCTCGAACTCACGGATAGATACACCACAAGAGCCAAATATAAAGCATACCAAAATATCTGGTTCTGCAAACACCGCCAGCACCGCCACGGCCACCCGTCGGGAGAATGAGGTAATACGAGGGAGTGCTAGGGCCAGCACCGCCACGGCCACCCGTCGGGAGATTGAGGTAATACGAGTGAGTGCTAGGGCCAGCACCGCCACGGCCACCCGTCGGAAGAATGAGGTAATACGAGGGAGTGCTAGGGCCAGCACCGCCACGGCCACCCGTCGGGAGAATGAGGTAATACGAGGGAGTGCTAGGGCCAGCGCCGCCACGGCCACCCGTCGGGAGATTGAGGTAATACGAGGGAGTGCTAGGGCCAGCACCGCCACGGCCACCCGTCGGGAGATTGAGATAATACGAGGGAGCGCTGGGGTAGCAACTTGACACGGCAAGTTTGGCAGCACGCCAACGGCATACAAACGTTCCAGGACAATCAAGCACGTATCCAGATGCATGCTTACTGAAAATACATTTTGTTGTCTAGAGTGGTCTTTTCCACTTAAAAGCACATCAACAACTAAAGGTGAGCTTATTTCATCATATCTGATAATGTCCTCACTGTCTTCGAATGCGGAGCATTCCCTTTACATTTTTGCATTCGTGATCATAAGCACGGCATGAAATGTCGCACACTAGCAATAGCACGAATGTCTGCTCTAAAATGTTGTTCTGCCAGTACCTTCTAGTGTCTTGAAAAATTGATAAATCAGCATGAGGACCCATAGTGCTACAAACCATGTGATGTTACATCAGTTGTCTAATATCTAATTCGCTATCTGATTCGTGTGCAGCTACTAAATGATGTAGGACGAAAAGGTACATACAATGCAGTCAAGACGGGCGCTTGGGGGGTTCCGTTGTAATATAACAAATGATTCAAAAGTTGAAAATTTCAAATCATGATGGTGGGCGATCTATAATCACCGCAGACCTTGTTTATAAAACGAAGCATAGGATTACGAAAGCCAATACGATATCGCTCGTCGGATGCACACAGTGGAGGCCCACCGTTTTGATGAACTCGAACAGCTCAATGACGGCCGAGTCCAGTAGATTGTAGCGTCCTTGGTTGTGGAAGAATGCCTCCACCACGGGAGCAAACAGATTCTGCTTGACGATGTGGCGGTTGTAGTTCTCGTCCTTCAACGCCACCATCTTACGCAGGAACCGCAATGCATCTGGAAACGAGCGTAGTAAGTACACTAAATACGTTGGCATCAGCAACTTGCAACGGTGTAACAAACGCGGTAATATGATAAAACGCAACCACAGCCTTATTAGACATGATGGCCTTGACGAAATTTAAGGCATTCACAGCACCAATGTTGCAAAAATGCAAATTTTACATGAAACAAATGCAATGCATTAAAAAAACATCCACCCCTGACGGTAAGAGCCGGCGGACGGTCCTCTCACCTAGAACAAGGTACTTGTGCTTGCTCTTCATGAGCACCAGTATGCGGGCGACCATGTTTCTGGTGATGATGAAGTTCTTGGCGTGGAAGGTGTGGTGCTCGACGCAGAACGAGAGCAGCTCCAGCACCAGGTTGAGCAGCTGCACGGTGGCCGGGTCGTCATGCAGCGGCCACTCGTCGGTAGTGTTCGCCAGCAGCGGCGCTGGCGGCGATGCAGGGCTCAAGTCAGGGCGCCGGCGGCGGCACTCCGACGCCGGCGGCCGTACGGTGGCGTCCGCTCGCGGCACCGCCAGTACAGGCGCGTCGCTGTGTCCGACGGTGAATCTACTCGGCATGGATCGGCTGGAGATTGTCAACTAAATCCCTCAGACAGAAGATGAGTTTCTTTTTTTTAACTGCAAACTGGCATCACGTAAGTTTGCGGGTGTCAAATCCGTCATGAACTACGCAGGCCACCGAGTCACGAGCACGGGCGGCGGCCAGCACACAGTTCACTGCAGCCCAATTGTCTGCCCTCTCCTCTCCATCCATCCCCATATGACAGGGCTAGCGCCCGCCGCAGTGGACGCCTCCGTACCGACGAGGCTGTGCATGCAGTGTTTGTAGAAGAACGCCAGGAACTCGGTCTTCTCGGAGCGGTTGAGCGCCACCATGTTCTCCGGGTCGATGAGGATGCGGATGATGCCGGAGAGCTGGACGGCCGAGCCGACCTCCGGGTCACGGTCGCACACCATCTGCTCTACGATCAGGTTCATCAGCAGCTGGTCCTGGGGACACAGACGGAGCGCGCGCGCGGCGCCGGTCAGAACGCCGCCAGATCGGCCCTCGCTGCTACGCGTGCATGGCCAGCGGCGTCCATACCGCACACAGAACCTTGGTCACGGTGGTAGTAATAGTTTCGCATGCACATCGCAGGGATTGGAGGATTCTGCAAAAAAGCAAGTGTCTGAAGTAGACTTTCCCAGCTGCAACAAACATACGCATCCTTCAAGAACGCATATTGATATGAGGCAGCACGATGCCGCTGTGCGTCCTCGGACAGGCGAATGCCGCCATTCCCGCGTGGCGGCGAGACGGGGCGCGAACACCATGTGCTTTTCCCGCGGCTGCGCTGCGTGTCCAGCAGTGCCCGGCTGCGGAGGGCCCGGACATTGCCGGCTAACCGGCGAGCTGACTCACATCGTCACAGGACTCGGCCTGCTGCACCATGTGCTCCCGCACCATGGGCGGCACCGTCTCCACAATGTACATGAGGATATCGATGCAGGCGGCCTTGATGACCTGGCCGGGCTGAGAGAGGTCGCCGGCGTCCACGGTCAGCGTAGTCTCCAGCGCCTGCAGCACGCCCAGCGACAGCAGCGTCTGCCAGCAGGACGGCGGCCAGCGTCAGCACGGCTGCAGGTCACGGGCCACTCTCCAGGGGACAGCAGGACGGCAGCCAGCGTCAGCACGGCTGTACGCGCGGCACCTGAGGTCACGGACCACTCTGGGAGACGGCCGGACAGCAGCCAGCGTCAGCACGGCTGTACGCGCGGCACCTGAGGTCACGGACCACTCTGGGAGACGGCCGGACAGCAGCCGGCGTCAGCACGGCTGTACGCGCGGCGCCTGAGGTCACGGACCACTCTGGGAGACGGCCTGACGGCAGCCAGCGTCAGCACGGCTGCAGGTCACGGGCCACTCTCCAGGGGACAGCAGGACGGCGGCCAGCGTCAGCACGGCTGTACGCGCGGCGCCTGAGGTCACGGACCACTCTGGGAGACGGCCTGACGGCGGCCAGCGTCAGCACGGCTGCAGGTCACGGGCCACTCTCCAGGGGACAGCAGGACGGCGGCCAGCGTCAGCACGGCTGTACGCGCGGCGCCTGAGGTCACGGACCACTCTGGGAGACGGCCTGACGGCAGCCAGCGTCAGCACGGCTGCAGGTCGCGGGCCACTCTCCAGGGGACAGCAGGACGGCAGCCAGCGTCAGCACGGCTGTACGCGTGGCACCTGAGGTCACGGACCACTCTGGGAGACGGCCGGACAGCAGCCAGCGTCAGCACGGCTGTACGCGCGGCGCCTGAGGTCACGGACCGCTCTGGGAGACGGCCGGACAGCAGCCAGCGTCTGCACGGCTGTACGCGCGGCACCTGAGGTCACGGACCGCTCTGGGAGACGGCCGGACAGCAGCCAGCGTCAGCACGGCTGTACGCGCGGCGCCTGAGGTGACGGACCGCTCTGGGAGACGGCCGGTCCTGGGGACACAGGCTGACACAAGGCTGACATCTACCGTTCACATACGTGTCAGTAGTAATGTCGGTGCCGAACCATCATCAGCTAAAGTTGACGATAGTCAACATATCTCATTCTCAAACAGATATATTAATCCCGGTTAAAGGACTGCAACATTCGATTCCCGCGCTACAACAAAGGGAATTGCGAACGCCCGTCAGCCCATTTCCGATGGTGGCAGGCAGGCCAGCCACGGATCATCGGCCACGTGTACCAGGGAGCGGCAAGGCCAGCCTCGGGCCACCGGTCCCGTGTACTGGGGAGCGGCCAGGTCAGCCTCGGACCACCGGTCCCGTGTACCGGGGAGTGGTCTGGCCAGCCTCGGACCACCGGTCCCGTATACCGGGGAGCGGCCAGGTCAGCCTCGGACCACCGGTCCCGTGTATCAGGGAGCGGCCAGGTCAGCCTCGGGCCACCGGTCCCGTATACCCGGGAGCGGCCAGGTCAGCCTCGGACCACCGGTCCCGTATACCGGGGAGCGGCCAGGCCAGCCTCGGACCACCGGTCCCGTGTACCGGGGAGTGGTCTGGCCAGCCTCCTGCCTGCGACGGATGCGTCTGACGACACAGACGCTCCAGGGCGGCACAGAGCCCGGGCCGGGGAGCTGTGGCGTCAAGTGCGGTGGTGAGGGGCTGGACAAGGTGAGCAGAGCCACCAGACTCAGGCCGACCCGACCGCTGGCGCCACACAGCTCACTGGAAAACGCCACACCACAGACGCTGGGTACCTTAAAGAATGTGTCCTTGCTCTGCGGCTGCAACGTGTGCGAAAACGTGCAGAATTCCTTCAGGAATAGCACCAGGTCCCGCCGCTTCGTGATCGGCGTCTTCTCGTCACTCAACAGGGAGAAAAACTCGGTCAGGAACTTCTCATCGTCCTGCAACACGCCGTGGGTCAGAAATACGCCCAGTTAGTTCAGTACGGGGGCGGGCATCGCCAGCATCTAACGTCTGGGAGGGTCCAACACAGACCTACGGGCTAAAGCGGTCCTCTCCGAGTGGGGGAAGGGCGGGGGGATGCCGATTTGGGGACCATAGAATAGGACGGTCGTCGCCGCCCAGGGGCCGCAGGCGGAGCACCATCCGGCTACGACCCTCGCCAAGGGACAGCAGACAGAGCCCCTGACGGCCATGACCCTCGCCAGGGGAAACCAGGCGGGGCCCCTGACGACCACGATCCTCGCCAGGAACAACAGACAGGGCCGCTGACGGCCACGACCCTCTCGAAGGACCAACAGACAGAGCCCCCAGACGACCACGACCCTCGCCGGGGAACAGCAGACAGAGCCCCCAGACGACCACGACCCTCGCCGGGGAACAGCAGACAGAGCCCCCAGACGACCACGACCCTCGCCGGGGAACAGCAACAGAGCCCCCAGACGACACGACCCTCGCCGGGGAACAGCAGACAGAGCCCCCAGACGACCACGACCCTCGCCGGGGAAACAGCAGACAGAGCCCCCAGACGACCACTACCCTCGCCGGGGAACAGCAGACAGAGCCCCCAGACGACCACGACCCCTCGCCGGGGAACGCAGACAGATCCCCCAGACGACCACGACCCTCGCCGGGGAACAGCAGACAGGAGCCCCCAGACGACCACGACCCTCGCCGGGGAAACAGCAGACAGAGCCCCAGACGACCACGACCCTCGCAGGGGAACAACAGACAGAGCCCCCAGACGACCACGACCCCTCGCCGGGGAACAGCAGACAGAGCCCCCAGACGACCACGACCCTCGCCGGGGAACAGCAGACAGAGCCCCCAGACGACCACGACCCTCGCCGGGGAACAGCAGACAGAGCCCCCAGACGACCACGACCCTCGCCGGGAACAGCAGACAGAGCCCCCAGACGACCACGACCCTCGCCGGGGAACAACAACAGGAGCCCCCAGACGACCACGACCCTCGCCGGGGAACAGCAGACAGAGCCCCAGACGACCACGACCCTCGCCGGGGAACAGCAGACAGAGCCCCTGATGACCACGATCCCGCCGGGGGACAGCAAACAGCAGACCAAGACGGCCACGAGCCTTGCCTCCCATTGGCCGCACCCGGCAAGCACGCAGCTAATCGAAAGCATCTCCAGCGACACATCCATGCGTCCAGCATTACACAAGTGGTCAGGAGTGGCAACGCTGAGTGGGACAGCCTTCTGTACCCTGCTTTCAAACCAGTTGTCCTCTTTGTTACCTGATTCTGCTTAGGGCATCAGGTACGCTTAGATGCAACCTAGTCTGCATGCTTTAATGCAAAGACCAGGCAACATTCCTCCACATGCCGGACGCTGTACAGCAACAGCTGGCTTGTACAATCTATGACCAGGCAACATTCATTTCACACGCTACACGCAGCACAGCGACAGCTTGTTTACACAATCTATTCCAACGCAGAATAAACTGGTGTTTTGATGTTCCAAAGCACCCATGTATGAATGAAATGGAGGCTGAACATCAGACATCTGCAAATGATTTATTTTGCAGACCTGAAAGCCCAATGCTGACTTCACTGACCTGCAATTGCCTAACGATATCTAGCTTATTGAAGAATATAAAGCTAGATAACGTGGAGAGCACGTTGTCCTCGAACATGTTGGGCGTGGGCAGCACGATGTCCTGGATGTACTGCACGCGATACGTCTGGTGTATCTTGGCCAGCAGCTCACTGTTGCGGATCGGCAGCACCTGTGGCCGGCAGCGGGCGGGTCACGCACACACCACAGGGCACCGCCGAGCACGGAGAGAGCGCGCGCTGCACACACCGCCGGCGCACATAGCTGACGCCGACTCACACCACGGACAGCGGCGGACGGGTGAAGCCGGCGGCTCGCGGCTGCAGCCGTGACGCTGGCCGGGACGGACCGGAGCCCAGCCGGCGCACACAGCTGACGCCGACTCACACTACGGACAGCGGCGGACGGGTGGAGTCGGCGGCTCGCGGCCGCAGCCGTGACGCTGGCCGGGACGGACCGGAGCCCAGCCGGCGCACACAGCTGACACCGACTCACACTACGGACAGCGGCGGACGGGTGGAGCCGGCGGCTCGCGGCCGCAGCCGTGACGCTGGCCGGGACGGACCGGAGCCCAGCCGGCGCACACAGCTGACGCCGACTCACACTGCGGACAGCGGCGGACGGGTGGAGCCGGCGGCTCGCGGCCGCAGCCGTGACGCTGGCCGGGACGGACCGGAGCCCAGCCGGCGCGCGACGACAGCCACGACCGGCGCACACCGCCCGGCCGGCCTCACCTGCTTGAAGTTGGCCATCTGCTTGAGGTACTCGCGGTGCCGCGTCGGCACCGGGTTGGCCGGGTCGTATTCCAGACAGCCCACCACGTCAAAAATGACGTCAACTGCGGGACCGGTCAGAGTCGGTCAGGCGAGCGGCACACACAGGAGGACGAGACGGTCAGGCGGGCGGCACACACAGGAGGACGAGACGGTCAGGCGGGGGCACACACAGGAGGACGAACGGTCAGGCGGGGCACACACAGGAGGACGAGACGGTCAGCGGCGGGGCGGTCACACACACAGGAGGTCAGGCGGGGGCATACACAGAGGGGGGATGGTCAGGCGGGGCATACACAGGAGGTGGAGGTCAGGGCGTGGCACACACAGGAGGACGAAACGGTGAGGCGGGTGGCATACACAGGAGGGTGGGGTGGTCAGGCGGGTGGCATACACAGGAGGGTGCGATGGTCAGGCGGGCAGCACACACAGGAGGGTGGGGTGGTCAGGCGGGCGGCATACACAGGAGGGTGGGATGGTCAGGCGGGCGTCACACACGGCGGGACGGTCAGGCGGATGGCACACACAGGACGGGGCGGACATGCATATGGCAGGACAGAACGGTCAGGCGGATGGCACACACACTGCTTTCTTGACAAACGGAACCGCCAGCCAAACTGTTCCTGTCACTCACATGCTGACCCCTTCCCTGAGAAACAGAACCACCGATCAAACCGCCTATTACTTGCATGCCGACACCTCTCTTCACGAACTGAACTACCACGGCGTGCGGTGGCTACCTACAAAAACAGTGTGCCAGCAGCATTCATGTTGCGATAAGAGGGCCGCTAAATGCGCTACATCCTTCGGAATCCCAAACGCCCGTTCATACGACGGCCTTAGACAGCATACTTCCATCAATAACTTTGTGGGTACAACATCGCCTTCAGCACCTAAGACGTCTTAATGTCTCCTGGAGACGGACGCAGATGCCGGCGCAGCTGTTGGTAGGGAGCCAGCCCGAGACTCGTCACACCGCCGCTAAGCGGGCCCTCCCAGCTTCACCACTCCGGGCACGTGACGGAGCCAGCCCGAGACTCGTCACACCGCCGCTAAGCGGGCCCTCCCAGCTTCACCACTCCGGGCACTGACGGAGCCAGCCCAAGACTCGTCACGCCGCCGCTAAGCGGGCCCTCCCAGCTTCACCACTCCGGGCACTAACTTTTGAACATGGACTCGATGAGGGCGTTTTTGTTCAGCTGAAAGAGGTTGATGATGATGTCGTGAAGGTGGTGCAGGCCGGCAGTGTTCTCCACATCTTCGCACATCTGGAACATCCGCATCAGCTTCGGGATGTAGTTGTCGGCCTCCACGGCCAGTGTGAGCTTCTCTCGCTTGATTGCCGAGTGCAGACAGCTGTTGATGAGCTGCAACCGACGACCAGTCACATAAAGTCCCGCGGCAGACAAGCGCGCAATGCCAGCGGCACCACTGCCGGGAGCAGATGTACAGGTCGGGTCGGGGACGGAACATGAGCTCTGCTGGGAGGGACCTTTCCAGCCAGAGGCAATCTCGATCCCAGACGATCCTACTGAGACGGACCGAACCTCACAGGCTAAGTCGCCTCATTTACCTAACAGAATTTGACTCGTCGCCTAGCTGCAGTGCACAGACCATGTTTGGAGCACCATGCCCTACTCAGAACACGGTCTCGGAGCTCTCCCCCCGGTCTCCCACTGCAGCTGAGAGAAAATGCCAGGGTCCGCGTCCTGTCCCGGGTGCAAAGCCGAGACCGAGCACCCACCTCGGAGATCTCCTCCAGTCGGCCCATCTCGGCGGCCGGCAGTTCTATGCTGGGCACGGTGTCGGACATGTCGTCGAAGCGCTCGTCTTCGCTCTCCTCCACAACCTCCTGTGTGATCTCCACCGACGGGTCCCGGCCCTGCACCTGGTGGCCGGCGCGACCAGTCAACACACACGCACATGCACATGCACATGCACACGCACACACACACTCACACCCGGCAAGGAGCGCTCGCAACCAAAACACACCATGGCAGCCTGCTGGGAAACAGCCATGCGTTGACATTCACAAGCAACACGGGACGAGACGTGACGAATGTGGTATAACCTGGCATCAAAGCGGCACTTTCCAGCAGAGCTATGGCCAAGCTGAAATATTGTTCGATAATGCTTCAAATGCCGCTGAAACGCCCACAGCAGGGTCAAACATCTCACCCCTATAACATGCAGCGTCTTAAATGCCCCTCCCCCTCCCCCAGAGGCCCCAGTGAGAGTGACGGGAGTCATTGGTGTGCGGGGCAGCATCAGGGCACCGGTGGTCACCGTGTCACCTGGCATATTTTCTCCCATATCTCGTCGCAACCGGCGCGCTCCTGGAAGCTGAGCGCCAAGTCAAAGTTGTCGCCCTCCGACCACACGATCAGCGTCTCCTGCTGCTTCTGGTAGACGGTCTCCGGTTGGATCTTGCTCTCCAGCAGGATGTTGCCGTCCGACTCGGCCTTCACCAGCAGTGAGACACCTGCGGCCGAAGGAGGGCGGGGGGGGGGGACGATTAGCCGGGACGTCTAAGACGGTGGCGACGCGCCGAGCCTCACCCACGGCCGGCATTACGAGCAGCAGATCAGACCCCTCACGCTCTCAACCAGCTAGGTCTCCACCGCTCACTGCAATTGACGCGGTGCTGCGGCGGCCCTGACCGGCAGTTCACGCGACGCAACACAACCACGACGGGGCGGAGAGCAGGCCCAGCGGCGCCGGTCTGGCGCGTGTCTAGCGGGGGTCTGGCTGCCCCCGTGCGAGTCTGGCGACGGTCTGGCTGCCCCTATGCGGGTCTGGCGCGTGTTTGGCGGGGGTCTGGCTGCCCCCGTGTGAGTCTGGCGACGGTCTGGCTGCCCCTGTGCGGGTCTGGCGAGGGTCTGGTTGTCCCTGGTTCGGGTTTGGTGAGGGTCTGACTGCTCCTGGTACGCCCATGCTGGCGGGCGCGGATGTGGTGCGGGTGTGACGAGGGTCTGGCTGTCCCTGGTGCGGGTTTGGCGAGGGTCTGGCTGCCCCTGGTGCGCCCGTGTTGGCGCGGGTCTGACGCGGGTGTGGCGCGGGTCTGGCTGCTCCTGGTGCACCCGTGCTGGCGCGGGTCTGTCGCGGGTCTGTCGCGGGTCTGACGCGGGTCTGCCTGCCCCCGGCGCGGGCGTGGCGTGGGTCAGACGCGGGTCTGGCGACGAACTGGTGCGCCGGTGCTGGCGCTGGTGGCGGCGCGGGTGTGGCGCGGGTCTGGCTGTCCCTGGTTCGGATTTGGCGAGGGTCTGGCACGGGGCCAGCTCACCCTGCAGCTTCTCGACGTAAGACGACGTGACATGACCCGTGCCGCGGTCATCCCACTGCCGCTCGGCGTTCAGCGCGTACAGCTTGACGCGGCGGCGCGTGCTCTGGTCCGCCATGCCGAGCCCGGCACCGGGTCAGCTCATCTCCAGACGCGCGCGCGCAGACAGGCGGCTGGCTCCTCCAGCTCTCCGGACGGCGGCGGCACGGCGCTCCTCCCAGCTGACACCGGTCAGCGGCGGCCGCGGCTGGAACGCAGTGACGGCGCGTCAGGTCGCCACAGCGTCCACGGTCATCCAACGTCACGCCGCACAGGTTAACGAGGTCAGCAATGCCAACCAAATGAGTATTTTGTCGGAGTCCTTTTGTACTACAGTACGGACCAGGTGACAGCCCTTTGCCACCAGCCTGCTTGCTGAAGCTGGCCTCACATCAGACATTTATAGTCAGTGCTTAAAATGCAGCCCTGCCACCATTGTGCATGCAACAGTCAGATCTAAGCACTTCAACCTATGGATCAGTTTGCCATGCCATGCCTGAGTTTGTGTCAGATGCAAATCAGGAAGGTCAGTGAAAATGTAAGCCCATCAAGGCAGACATCATGAGACAAAAAATACCGGTTTGGCGTGACAGCCTATCACATCTAAACTGGTTTGGCGTGACAGCCTATCACATCTAAACTGGTTTGGCGTGACAGCCTATCACATCTAAACTGGTTTGGCGTGACAGCCTATCACATCTAAACTGGTTTGGCGTGACAGCCTGTCACATCTAAACTGGTTTGGCGTGACAGCCTGTCACATCTAAACTGGGTCCCAAATCCCTCTCACACATGATGAAATGTAACTTGTCTACACATCATGCCAAACCATTCAAGAACCAAAACATTGACCATGAATGTGAGCATTGCAAGTGTTCCTACACTGCAAGTGTTCCATTGCAAGTGTTAAGTGCAACAGTTCCCAAATACCATACAGCATTCAAAAGCAGGCCAATTTTCATCATGGGGAACAGGAATGATCAGATCTGCATGGTGCATAAAACCTGCAACATTAAAACTGGACTTGTGGAAGCTTGCTGATGGATTTAGTTTGTACTTAATGCATGCATACATAGACATCCTGTGCCCACAAATGTAAGATATCAAACACAAATGTTAAATTAAAGACTGATGCAGCCTGCTGTGAGCTTGAAAGCAGTCCATCTCAAGTCTTCTTGTCATTTCTGAGTTGAATTCTATCGGTTTCTAACAACTAGACCTTCAGCCTGAATGGATAAAGACAAGATATAATAAATGAACTCAAAGTAAGATATGTGGTACAGTTTGAGTCCATTAGGAAGGGTCACTGCTAACAATGTCCCAACAACACCACCTATTACTTTCCATATTTACACCTAGATAAGTTCTTTTTCTTGTACATCTTTCCCTGATGATAGGGCTCAATGGATCAGCACACTTGGTTTCAGCCAAGCCTTTCAACTTGTGGAGAAAAAAAGAACACGGCAGATGGGGGCAATGCACCAGTTACTCTGAAGATGGTACAAGGACTTAGACTCTACATGAGACATGTAAAAAATGTGTTCCACAGTAATTTAACATCTGTGTTTGTCAGAAATGTGGGGTTAAAAGGATGACTGTAGCACTACGTTTTGCTTCTGAGGGTACACCAACATCCTAAATTTATAACAGGTCCTGCAGAATAATCTCAAGCTATCATTTCTAATTGAAAATGATGCTATAGCAAAGTAGCCCAGGTTGACCTGGAGGGTAAGTAAGCCTATCTTGACTTTCCATTTATAACTCCATCAGACTGGCCTTCACATAACATCTAATGCTGATACTTTTGCAACCACTGATGGCAGCACCATGCAGTGGACCTGAGTCACATGAATAATTCTCAGTATGTTTTCCTAAAATGATACCAGGTATCCAAAAACCAATAACAATGTCACATTCTGTACAAAGAGAGATAATGCATGCTGTGAAATATTGTCCAGGAAATTGTACTGTACATAATGTAAAGTTGCATCCACTAACCAAGACATACTGACACAGTTTCTGAGTATCAACCAGCTAATACTCAGGGCAAACAGCATGTGAAAGCCTGTGAGAATGTATTTCCCACTCTGAAAGATAACACATTATTTTTATTTCCTTAACTTCTTGCAGCTGCTGGCTAGTGATGACACTAACTGGAAGCATGGGCTGCAGAGGGATGAGGTATGGGGAGGAGAGACCATTTCATAATGAGGAATACTTCTTCGGCTGACTTCAGCCCCAAAACAAGTTGGGCACGTTTTGGTAACAGGATGTAAACAACACATCTGATTCAGAAGAATTGCTGGCACACTAATAATATAACTATTGCATTTTAGCTGCATGACAGCTACAGCTCGGTCTGAAAAAAATATTCCCCATGATGGATAACTACAAAATACTGGTGCGCTGAACCTAATGCATGCATGCATCAAACTGAAGCCATGCTAAAATGAACTTAATTTTTTCTGATTTTTCCTTACATACTTTTGCCTGAAATGACCTTTGTAAAATCAGAATTCCCTTGACACACTGGCTTTTCATGTGCTGACATCTGTAGCAACTGCACAAAAGCCCTGAATCCCTGGATTTTTTTGGAAGGCTTACTGACATTGTTGGTGTGATTCTGCTGCTATGCTGAACATATTCTTATTCAGCATAATGTTTATCTTTTGCAGAGTATTCTAAAGCCATCTGCATTGTTTTGTCAGTGATGGTACTTGCAAGCATGTTCATGTTTTACTGATAATGTTGATTTATTTCCTTATGGTTCATCATATATTTCACCATACATCTATAGCCATTCAGCAAGCAATATGCACTATGCAATGTTCTGTGTACAGTTAGGCATTTGTGAATATAAATGGCATCCATTTTTACACCATGCCTGTTATGCAGCCCTAGCAAAATCAATTTTGTACAGCAAGCTTCCAGTCTATAAAACAGGTCAAATTTTGAGGGGATCCTGCTAAGGCAGAGTTGAAGCAAGAATTGATAATTAAGGTACATTTCTGGATTTTTGGGCAGAAATTCCTCAAAATCATACTTTATGTCATTTTGGCCAACTCATCACAACTTGAGGCAGATAATGAGCTAGGATGGAGAGCAGATCAAACCATGAAACAAACTGCAGCAGGCAAAAAGACATGACTCCATGATGGCCAATACAGCTTACAGGCCAATTATACCACATGAGCCTTAGCCATGCCATAGTTTGAATAACACTTATCTTGATGGTGATCTTGAATAAAAATGATTGTGTTAACATGGAACACTTTGCTCACCCAGCTTCTGTTATTCACATTGAGCAGGTAAATCAGGTAAAAACAACTGGATGCCGGATAAGCCAGTTTCCCTATGACAGCTCTAAAGGCTACATTGTATTACTTACATTGTGAAATGCTTGATGAAGTTGTAAAATTAAGATGCAGTGTAGATCATTGTACAGTAAATTTGGCGCAATTCTGACCAATCTTGAACACGACAGTACCAGTAGATAAAAGCCGGTGAAAGCAAATTAACTTCTAGGAAAATTAGGAAACCACCAGATACCCAAGCTTTAAATTACAGCTGAGATACATTTTGAGAAACAAACTGAGCACAAATTCACATGAGAAACATACCAGTGTGACACATGCCTACAATTCTAACCTGCTCTCATGACCTATTTCTTAGAAATCCACTTATATTTTGGAAGATATTGTTTTAAACTTCAAGCCTACCAGTTGGTGTATCTAAGCACATTAACATGGCAGGAAATTGTGTGGACAACATGCAATCAATCTCAACAGCAATGTGCTACCTGCATGAATTCAAAATTATTCAATTATGGACCACATAGCTACACACATCACCCCAGTAGTTTCTGACCATGCATAACTTAAACAAAGCATAAGCATTTGGAATACATGAATAATGAAAGCTAATGCAGAAAAATTACACAAAAAAACATGGAAATGCCTGTCGAAATGCAGAACACAAAACTGAATGGAAGAACACTAATTTCAGGCACCTTCTTTGTAAAACTTCGGTGAAACCTTCTCTAACTCATCTCAGTCCAATGGCTGCACATCCTACCTTGTGCCCAGCGATGCCAATCCACCGAAAAATGTCACAGCCTCTCCCACCACAATGAACACTTAACCAAACGCAATTTTCTGTAAACCGAATGGTAATGAATGACCCCACTTACGTTGAACACCGCCGGCGAACCACGAATTTTCGTAGCAGTCGTCTGTATTCGGCGCAGTTACAAATGCAGCGCAGAGCACACAACTAAATCTAAAATCGCGCCCACCAGTGGAGCTAGGGTACGCTGATGTGATCTGTCCAGGGCGATTGCCAACAAGCCGGGCAATTAGATGTTTCGATGCTCTAAAATGTCTACGACAAGCACAAGTAAACCCGTCGAACATGAAATTTTAATTTGGGTTGCGGCGTAAAGGCAATGAAGGCCAACAACAGGTTTATCCTGAAACGTGCTTTTTTCGTTTTTGCTCTTATATCACACATATATCGACTATTACGGCACACTCAGCCTGCTTCGCCAGTAGTTGCAGAGGTAACAGAACCATCTTGGAGAAGACGACATGTCTGAAAGTCCTTCATTACCGCGCATGCACAGGTAACATCCGTTCACACATGCTCGCGAGCAGCATGTAGGACCATCCCCACGTTGAATTCCGGTCGCCTTTCCCGTACAATCAAGGCCACATGCCTGCAGGGTGGCGCCGGCGTGCCCCGCTCCCCGACCGTCTCAGTGGTATGCGGGGGAAAGAACTGGATAACGGGCAAAATCATGTTTTTGCTCCGTCAAAATTTTTGAAGGCGTCGTTCTCTCACACTGAAGGCATTGTAGCCTGGCATATGCTAACGGTTGAGTCAGGTGGAACTGAATCTAGCTCAGAGCACTGCTCTTCGCAATCACTTACATTCGTTCACAAGACGTCCGTTAATTCTGGATCAGGAGGCTTCTTCATGGATGCGGTAGCCCACGCTCAGGGTCAGAAGACCAGATTGTGTGTTCAAGAGCCTACTTGACGTCTCGACAGGCGTCTTTGTAAATAAGGAGACCCGTTTATGAATACGCATGTCCACGTTCTGGGCCATGAAATACCCTCCATGTTCATATCAGGAGCCTGGTCTGCCTGTAGGAGGCCAAATTTTGGAGGGGGATGGGGGTGGCTTGTCGGCTTGTCACGTGGTTTCTCGAACGCAGATGGCCTGGGACGCCAGCAGCAGGGCCGATAGTGAGGACCCCCTGTGCTCACTGTGGGGACCTAGACTCACCGCCCACCTGGGCCATCTCATCTTGTCTGCATTTCCTCCACTTCGCGGCCAGCTCCCAGCCTCCCTGAGACATCCCCAGCTCCCAGCCTCCCTGAGATATCCCCAGCTCCCAGCCTCCCCGAGCCATCCCCAGCTCCCAGTTTCCCCAGACCCGTCCCCAGCTCTCAGAATTCACCAGCCGTCTCCAATTCTCAACCTCACCGATTTAAAGCCAGCTCCTTATTCTTGTGTTTACTCAGTTCCCGTCAAGACATAGGTTTGGATGGTCATATTTTACATGTAGTATGTGCATGTGTCAATAACAAGCACTCCATGTAATTGCCAGCATTATTGGGAAATGGAGAGTTGCCGGCAAACTATGTTCCTACGCTCTTTTTGCCCCACTTGCAATGTGTATGGAGATAAAGGACTTGCTCGTTTTTTAGCACACCACTGTTAAACGGGGCCCGACGAAAAAAATTTGAAAGCCCCGTAACCAGAAATAGCCGAAGTAGTCTGGTACTTGCCCAGTCAACAACGCTGATCATCAACTAAATGAACCCGACAAAACATAGTTCCAAAGGTCTTCCTTTGTCCATCTGAAACACAATATGTAGACCCTTAACATGTTGTTACCGAACATAACGTGCTTTTGGTCTCGTGTTGAGCAGGCAGGAGCGGAATTTCGAAAACAAACATTGAGGAGCGAAACCCATTACTAGACGGGTGAGAGAGCCCGGGAAGACGAATGGCCCCCTCACCGATGTTTTAACCTTAAAGCAAATGCTCCACATTTGAAGATATTGGAGCGTGGATCAGATATGATCAAAAAAGCTCATCTCTAACTGTTGGTCTACTTCGAAGTGGAAACGACTGCTCTGGACAGCACAATTTTTCTTTTTATTAAGTGTTTTCCTCAACACATTGTTGTTTAATGGTGGTATCGTACTTAACGCAATATTGACTGAGAGCCAGTTGACGGCCGCTATATCCGAAAATCGTGCCCTCGAACATCAGGTATGAACGACTCGAAAATTATATCTTTCTTAACCTTGATCGCCGCATGGAAAACGGGATGACAAGATTTGAATGATGTTATTACGGCGTCATGGATGCCGCTGTGCCCATGAAAAAGACTTCCCGAAAAGTGTGCACATCTTTGCGGGCGTATGGCTCAGACACTGGAGGGGTTCAGCTTTTTAGAAGGGCAAGGCTGTGACCTGCATCGAATGACTTTCAGGAGGCTATTTCAGTTCAAACCCCTATACGGATGTGAAACACTTCCTTTAAGATTTGTTTCAGCAGTGCACCAACCAGTCACATCAAGTACATTTGCCGTCCACTGCCACAGACACCAAACGTTAAATTCTCAAACCCACTTAAACCGCATGGATCGCAAGGCGTGCTTAAACAATAGTTTGAAGATGTTGACGCTCCACATTTGAGGATATTGACTCTCAACATTAGAAAATATTGGCTCTCCACATTTGAAGGCATTGGAGCCCGCATCAGATATGACGAGACAGCTCGCTTATTACCACTGATGTAATTTTAATGTGAAAAGACTGCCTGATATAACACAATTTCATCTATTCAGTACATATGCTCATTAATATGTCATTGTTTGATTGCGTCCTGGAACGTTTGTATCATGTTAAGGTGCTGCCAGAATAGTCGTGCGAAATTACCACCCTAACATGTACTTGTAGTATTTCAATTTCCCAAGAGGTGGCCGTGGCGGCGATGGAGGTGATTACTGAACCAATATCGTTAGGTACTCATGTTTTGGCCCTCTCTCGTAGTGTTCTTGCCCCAGTTATGGCGCGTATCTAAGTTATTCGATTACAAGTTTGATTTCGGTGACAACTACACCTATGTCCAATTTCTTATATTATGTTGCAGAGAACATGACCAGTGATTAACAGCTGCACAGCCTGCACAACATTGATCAAAAGCCAATTGACGTCAATTATATTCGGAAATCGTGCTCACGAGCGTCACGACGTGCTTCGGAACGGATCGACGATTGTATTCTTCTTGGCCTTGAGCGCCGCGTGGCCAATGGGATGGCATAATTTGAATGAGACCTCTGTGGTGTCACACATGCCTCAATAACCTTGAAATAGTGTGCCCGAAATAGTCCGCTCATCTTCGCGAGCGTTTAGCTCAGAAACCAGAAGGCTTTAGGTCTTAAGAAGAGCAGGACCGTGAACCGCACCGAATGATCCACAAAATGGTTATTCCAGTTCAAATCCACATATAATTGTGGAACACTCCCTTGAAAGCAGATACTGAGCTTACATTTTCGGTATTCGGGTGATACGCGAAGGAGTACTGTTGAAGGTTTGTTTTCACAGATCTATCCCATCTTGCCATCGTGCTGGGCAGCTTGGCTTCAATACGCCAGCGGCTACTTCCTTATCAACTCATTTTGCATAGCTCGCACCGGTCGCTTTGAGGGTAATGGCCTTTCTAAGCAGCCTTTGTTTTTTTTTTTTTGCACCATGCACTAACTTGCCAAGCTGTACCGCGCCAGATGATTGGAGAGTTTTCGTCATTACAACGAACTGCTGCTCAGGCTATATGGCGTCGCTTGCCTCTCATTCTGGCGGTAAGGATGGGCACTGCGGGGAATCGAACCCCGTACCTCTGGTTTCCCGGAGGTGCAGTGGCTAACTCGATCGGAGAGTTTTGCTGCTGGCCTTTAGAGGCGGTTCGGCCAGCGGAGAGGTGCTGCTTGCACCGTTCAACGTCACTCCACGGGCGAATGAAGGTACAATGGTGCGAAGCTGGTGCCGTTATTCAGTGTCTCACCTCAGACGTCCGCTGATACTCATATCCATGAAATATTTTTTAAGAACACTTTCAATACGCATCCTAAACCTTCACCACCAAATTCTGCTGTTGATTTGGAATTGCACGATCAGATGGTAAGGATCAACGCCCACACAACAGGTGCCGCTTAGAGTTAGCTGTGACCCCAAAAACCCATGCATTCCAAAGGTTTGGATGAAATATTTAAAAATGTTCAATGGATATGAGTATTGGCGAACTTCCAAGATGAGCCGCTGAATGACGGCACCGGATGCGTATTGAAATGTCCATGGTTCATAAAGTCCAGTGGTCAAGAATTCCAGAATCGCAGCATCCAGCGTTCATAAGGTCCAGAAAACGTCCAAGACCTCTGGATAGAGGATAATCATAAATTCCATCGTATATAAAGTCCAGCGTGCGTGAAATCCACGACTTGGGATGCCGTCCACTTCCTCGCAACCCTTCACTTAATGGTTTGGATATTGCCCGATAGAGGGATACCGGAGCCGATTTCGCCCACCTCGGCCGACGAGTGACGTCACGCGGTACGGCGCTGCCCAGTTAAACCACTGTGCATGGATATGGACAACGTTTTGTTTGAGTGCACAAACTTTGCCGCGTCAGCACGCCCATGGCAGCAGGCGCATTAAGGAATTCAAAACTTTGATTCCCGTCTCGTGGTATCGGAAATAGCTGGTTATTCGGCAGTAGCTGCACGGTAATCGTGGAAAGCACTTGTCGGCTTGCTTGCTGTTTGATATTGTGCTTATGTGTAAGATTCTCCGCGGTATTTGGTTCCGTTATTTACTTATGTGTTGATGATGTTTCTCATTTTTTGAAGAAATTGATAACTGATGTGTAAGGTTGACTGATTTGATGTCTGCTCCAGGTAGGCTCGCATGTAGATCTCCAGCTCCTGGCACTCTAACCTATATTGTTAGTGATTTTATTTGACTCATTTCCCTCCCTCCCCCAATTGCAAATTATTTCACACGCTCCTGCAAACGGGACTTATTCTGAGTTCTGCATGCCTTTACTCTCAAAGAAAGCGGGTGGGGGTTGTCTCATCAGCTGAATCCAGATACTACTCACTGGTGAGACACGTTCAATGGCCCAG